CTCTTTCTCCTTCTCTTCTTCTTCTCCCTTTTCTTGGGTGGCATACTATTACTAACAATATGACATTGGAAATAATATAAAAATGGAAAGGAAATATGTTCATTGCATAAACTTTGGAAAATACAATAAAAGCACAAATCCCTACTATTGAGGACAACTAATGTTAATGTTTTGGTATATATTCTTTCAGCAATTTTTAGAGTGTTTATATATACATGCACATTTTCCCAGATGATTGACACACCATATATACTAGTTTCTGACCTATTATTTTCTTATATGCTATTTAATGAACATTTTTATTCCATATTTTCTTCTACTCCACTCTCTATTGTGGTTGCATAGTATTTCATTATATATTTAAGTGATCTTCCAGACTATTTACATTTTTATTGAATTTTTTGAGGTTATAGTGGTTAATAAAATTATATAGGTTTCAAGCATACAATTCTATAATATATCATCTCTTTGTGTTCATCACCCAAAGTCTAGTCTCTTTTCATCACCTTTATCACCTCTTTACCCTTATACCTGTCTCCACCCCACCATACTGTTTTTATATCTATGAGGTTTATTTGTTTTGTTTTGTTTTGTTTTGTTTTTGCTTAATCTCATCACTTACTTCACCCAGGCTCTTAAGCCCCCTCCCCTCTGACAACTGTCAGTCTGTTCTCTGTCTATGAGTCTGTTTCATTTTGTTTCCAATTTTAACTACTTTAAATAATGCCATAGCAGATACATCTTTATAATCATCCCTTTTCACATTCATAGGATAAGGTCAGTCCTTTTTAGTCACTATTTCATGGTTAAAAATTATTTTCCCCAAGTAATTATATATTGCCAAGTATATTGTGATCTCATTTTTAGAAAAAAATACATATATACATTTATGTATGTGTATATATATATATGTCTGGGAGGATATACACTAAAAATGTAAGTTATAGTTATTACTAGGTGGTAAAAACAAAATTTATATTTTTATGTGCCTCTAATTTTTTTCTACAATGAACATTTTAATATATAATAAAGAAGTTTCATACATTTTAAGAGTTATAACAGTTTTCTGAGTATTCTCCATCTCTCCACAGAAGAGTTTTAGAATACCTAAGCAATCATGACTGCCCTCTCACAGCTGCTTAGACTCTACACGCGTTTTTCTTCTCTTTTGCTCTTTATCTGAGATATCACAGGTGCTACTCAAGTTACATTTTATCTACTCCAAAACTAAGTTGAATCCATCTCAGAGATTCAGAATGCAATGGATTTTCCCATTACAGAGCAATTTCCCTTGAGATATAAGGGACTTTCTTTATACAACTTTCTAGTCTTTTATCTGCAATGATCTTTTGTTCCCCTTTAGTCCAGTATTAACAAGGTTTTGTTAATGCACCTACAGCACTCTTCCCCCACACTCCTCTCCTCTAACTGGTCAAGAAACAACGTTCATCACTCTACAGGGGCTATGGATAATTTAGTGGGCTTTGTCATTTCTGACTGCAGTCTTACTGAGCCTTACAGGAGGACAGCTTTCTCCCATAATTACCATTCTCCTGAGCTCAGGACTATAGCAGACTTCTCACATCTCAGTTTTGTTATAGTACAAATGTGCAGTCCTTAATACTTATCTTCAGGCAACATAATCTTCTGAGAATTCTGTATTTCCAAACTGTGGTCAATCAGAAAACCAGCATCTATCATCACCTATGCTTTGTTTATAGTATTCTCTCTTCATTCTTCATCTCATCATTAATTCTGACCACCAGAAGATGTTTCTTACCTGCAGGAGGCTCTGATTTGGTGCCTAAAGACGTAGATTCATTTTTGAAGCTCACTTCAGCATAAGTGATCTCTGAAGTCATATTGAGATTGTCTGCTCTCTTCAAAAAATCCTTGGTATCTCTTCCTTAAAACATCTTAAAATGAAAATTAAACATGATGGTAACTTGTCATACTTCCTATCATGCAACTACCAGTAGATGAGAACAGCGGCTACAGATATGCAAATTTCCCTGAGAGGAATCTCACGAGAACTTAAAACCTCAAGGCAGAAGCTCATTCTCCAGGACCAGCACAGTGGAAATTATAGTCTTTAAACACATGCTAGCAACAGCAATAAAAGTAGGATCTCAAAAAGTAGAAGAAATAGGAAGGACAAGAAAAGAGGAACTAAACAATTAGAGAAATCTTTCATGAGAACTGTGTACTCTGAACTCACCAGCAAGAATTAAAATTCAAGTATTTGTGCGCATCCACATGCAAACATAATTATTTGTAGACCAACGAATCTTGGCATATACTAACTTAGCCTGCATTTTCTTCACCTTTTGTGGCTTATTAGGCAACTTTTAGGGGCCACATTCTAAGAGGATCATTGACAAAAATTTACATCAACTTCCCGCTTTCAACAGTCAGCATCTTCTAATGTATTGGGGAAGTGAAACTGTAGATGGTATGCCTTCTGAATCTTCTCAGTGCTGTCTGCTTTTCCCTGTTCTTAACTAACTCCATCATGAATCTCCATTTATTTTGCCACAGTCACATCCAGCATCTTCTGAAAGCAGCTCTCTTTTTTGGATGTTAAAGGAGTAGGCCACCCTTCTCTAGTCCATCCTTCTCTATTACTTTAATACCCACAACAGCACAACAAAAGACTATACAGGTATATACAACTACTTTTTAACAGTTAGGATAATTTAATGAAATCACAATTTAGAAGGAGATAAACTTAGTGCTAAATATGATTTTTTCCAAAGGCCTAGATAAAAACTCTCCAAAAATTAAATCCTCTGTGTGAAATCTTTCCACAGACCGGCTCCCAGCTCACACCTAATTCAGCTTCCCCCAAATAATCCTCCTTTGAATCCCTCCCACTTACTAACTCATCCCACCCCTATAACACACACACACACACACACACACACACACACCTGTACACACACACACACCTGTATATTTATTTCTATATCTAAATATATTGAATATATGAGTTTTAATCCAACACCAAAGAGTTCATTCCAGTTTTCTCCCTTTCTACAACTCCCTTCTGTGACAGTAAGAAATCTGCTTTCATTATCTTGAACTTCTTCCTTATTTGATCAATCCTCTAGATATAGCCAATCTTCTATTCTTGTTCAAGACTCCCTAAGCAGTCTTCTCTCCCTGAATAGGCTCTGACTCCCCAATACAGGCCCCCACTGTTATCGATGGCCTCTTCATTCTTCTTGGGCATTCTTGCACAAGTCCAGTCAACACCCAGACACATCGTTCTCACCTTGCTCAGCTCTGACACCCTACGCTAGTAAGAAAGCACTCCTTGCTGTCTCTGGACTCTGATTCTGATGATAGCCCCTAACCTCCACTTGGAGTGCATCCTTACCCCACTTAGGCTCTAACATCCTCATGTGTATAAGCCCTCCTCTCCCTGCCTGGGCTCTGCCTCTTCACATTGGGCTGCCCCACCATGTGGACAGCCTCCTTATCCTGCCAGCCTCTGAAACCCACAGCAGTAAGGGAAAGGAAGAGCTAATTCTTAAAATTTTTTCTAGCGAATTCTACTGGACCTAACAAGCACTTGCATGTGAAGAGGTGTGCATGCACACACCCTCCCTCCTCCCAATAGTAATCATTGATTGTCAGAGGCTTAGTTATCTGAGCTTATAAGGAGAAAGCAATACATATTCCTAAAGGCATCTCTCTTTCCACGGAGTAAGTCACATTCTAACTGGATTGCATTATATCGCAAGCAACCCCAAAATTTGAGTGTCTCACAACAAACATTTATTTTTTCCTTCACATGACATGTGGGCTTAGAGTCCGTCTGCTTGGCACTTCACCAAGTATTTTCTGATTCTGGAACCTAGGATCATAGAGCAGCTTCTTGTAAACTAAAACATATAGTAACATTCAAATCCTCTATTCAGATAATGTGTACATTATTTCCACTCTGACTCCATTGGCCTGTGCAAGTCACATGAACAAACCTGTGAATGGGGCAGGGAAATACACTCTACCTACAGAAAGTCATGTCAAGGGCAGCAAAATTTCTCACAGAAAGAAAGAAACACTTGAGAACAATAATACAATCTACCCCAATCCCTTTGTCATTTGGTTTGCCATAACAGGTTGGCTTAAACAACAAACATTTATTTTACACATTTCTATTGATTGGGAAGTCCAAGATCAAGGTGCCAAAAGATGCAATATCTGGTGACACTCTTACCCCTTCCTAAATCAGAGATTGCCATCTTCTCGCTGCTTCCTCATATGGAGTCTTTTATAAGGACATTCATGAAAGCTCCCATTCACGAAAGTTCCATCCTCATGACTTAATCATCTCCCAAAGCCCCTCCCCCTACTAATACTATCACATTGGGGTTAAAATTTCAACATATGAATTTAGGGGACACAAACAACCAGTCCATAGCATTCTTTAAATTATTTAGCCAAGGGATCTCTAGAGTAGTAATCTCCAAAATGGAGCATCCAAGTGCCCCAGGTGGTATAAAAAAGGATCCTCTAGGGCACAGAAATAAAATACTAGAACTTCTATTTATATGTATTTAAAATGTTAAGGAAAATAAACTTTACTAATATCATAAGGATTGAGTGTAGATTGCATGGCATGTGCAGTAGTGGAACTATCATAAGGAAAAAGGGTGGAGGTTCCACAACTCTAAGTTGATGTTGTACCTTTGTTTGTTCATTCACTTTCTGCACGTGGCATCAAATCTGTGCAATCACGAGTTTGGCTGGCCTTCTTACCCAGTTCCTGGAGGGTAGCCACTAAATCCTTATATTTCCTGAGTAATAGGAATGTCTTGGTTATTTATGGTGAGCCTTAATATGTTATATTAATAAAGTCACTCATAGTGGACCCCTAGATAGTTTATGCTAACCAGATGATTCAAGATGGGGACTGGCCAAGCCATAAAGACCAACTATTAGAGGATCAGAGGGTTGGGGTTTTGAGCTGTAAGATATCAGTCCAGACAGGAGAGGGAAGCTGGAGATAGAGTTCAACTTTGCATAAAATTATTTAGTCAAGCATGCCTATTGAAGGGGTTCAAAACAGGTCTCCCCAAGATGTGACATTTTGGCATGTAAATTACATACTTTGAGTTGAAGGACTCATGAAAATCTTTTACCTCTCCCTTTAAAAATTTCAATAAGGGCCTTTGCCCATAATAAGACATAACTTCTTATGATTTATCTAATTATTGAACATCTTCCCTTCTTGTTCTGTGAATGACCTTCTTCCCCTATGAAGCCCCAAAATACCTTACCTCATCCTTAGCGCAAAATTCCACATACCCCATTTTAACTTTCTGCCCCTGAGCCTCTGATGTATGTGGGGTTCTCATACATATGTAATTAAATTTAGTTATTTTCTCTTGTTCAACTAGTTCATGTAGATTTAATTATTAGACCGGCCAGAAGACCATGGAAGGGTAGAGAAAATTTCTTCTTCCCCATGCTATGTGATAAATGTTAATAAAAACTTTGGGCACCAAGGCTCAGGTGAGCTCCCCTGGTTGTCAATACTCTGTGTATGGTCACACATTAATGTGCCAGGAAGGTGACACATCCATGGGGACAATGAAAGCTTCCCAATTTGGATCCTCCTAGATCTCACCCTATATGCCTCTCCCTCATAGTTTGAGTGTTATGGGTTTATAGAAGGAAGACTACACAGGTGAAGTAACATTTTCATCACATTATATCAAAGGCATATGCCATGAATATGACTTATCATTGATGTTGTTAACCTTTCTCACCTGGTCAAGGTAGTGCTTACCAGGTTTCTCCATTATACATGGTGGAGCAAAAGTAGGTTTATAGTTATTCATATAGAAAATAATACAATAATTAATAAATAATAATACAAAAATAAGCTCTATGTTTTGCATACTCACAATTGTAAAACTACTTTTGCCCCACCCTGTATTCTTCCTGCTCCCTTTCCATATTGTGTTCTTTGGAAGAAAGTCACCTAACATACCCCACAGGCAAGGCCAGGGAAGGGAGTTTCACCTCCTTCAGGGGAAATTATCTAAATAAATTATTTAGAATTCTAATGCATAGGAAATTTGTCTATTCCCCATTCATTAGCTCCCTTATTTATTTATATAAGTCTGGATATTTTGAAGGTTTAATTTGTGTTGTAATCTAATACTACATTTATTTTGTTGCTCAGATTCCAGCTTTGGCCATTGAGGAGTCCTTTCTTTTCTTTTTTACTTTAAACATTTTTTAATTTTTTAATTACAGTACCATATAATCCTAATATATAAAAAGCCAGGGGCTGTCACAACCGAAACAACCGGATGGACAACCCAACAGCAGGCTGCGTGGGGCGAGCAGGCCAGCAGGGGGGGCAGTGAGGTATAATCAAATGACTGAACAGCAGGCTGCGTGGGGTGACCAGGCTGGTAGTGGGGGCAGTGAGGGACGACCAAATGACTGAACAGCAGGCTGCGTGGGGTG